TTAAAACCATAGCTTCTACTTACATAAAATTATAAAGTACAAAGAAAAACAATCAATGGTACTTACATCTGCGTCCTCGCATTCAAAGTAACGCCGCCCGACGTTGGGTCCTTCTGGAAAAGTCCTAGCCCTCATAGCAGAGCCGCAAAAGCAAGTAACCGGAATTCCTGACGCTGGAGTAGGTCTGGCGGGTGATGCTGCTGAAGAAGATGATGGCTGAGAGTAAGAATATTGACCCATTTTCGAAGCCTGGGAGAAGCAACTACTTTCGAAAGCTTCCCGTGAAAAAGTTAATTTTTAGGGTTGTGTGTTAAGTTTCTGTGGTTGCAGCATCCACTTACCCTACTTTAAAAAAAATATATTTCTATTAGTTGTAATCCTTTAGTCTATACGCTACAGAGATGGGTTGATTGAGCTGACTACACAGAAGAGAAACGTGTTGCAGGCCTATACGGTTGAGTATGTAAACCAGCTTTCTAGTGGTCTCAACCAATCAGATTTAGAAACGTGTTGTTATATGGGGCCATCAACAAGAAAACAGTATAAATTAATTTTTTTTGATTAAATTGCGATTGTTAACACATCCAAGTTACTTTCAGGTGGACAAACAAAAGGTTTAGACAAAGAAGGACAACGTGAAAAATATATAGGAAGGACAAAAACATAAAATGACGTTACTTCGCCGTCTCGATGAAATGGGAAGATAGATATAGGAGGCAGTGGACATAAAATGTAGTAGTTATGTCTATCGTCACCCCAAATGTACTGAGGTAGGCAAAGGAAACATATGCGAACAAACATAGATGATGGGGAATTATTGTCTACGGGCGATCAACAAAAAACACAAAAGGCCAATACGATAGTCAAGGGGACAGAGAAACAACACACTCTTCGAAGATATCAACGGCATATATTAAGAGGGCCTTCTGATACGGTAGACAATATCACTGTCCAGGAGATACTTGCCGAAGTCGACCGTAGGAACCATGAACACGCATCCAAGTTACAGCGCATGTGGGATGTTGAAAGGTCTGCTTTAAAAACCGAGATCCTTGCAGACTTGGTAAGACTATTGCGTGGAAAAGGAACATCCTCTAGAATAGGAAACAACATTAATTCCAACTTATTGGAGGAGCTTAACAAGTGTTCATGGGCATCTTATGGCACCAACATCGGCGACATATTGAACGGGATCAACAAGGCAGCTAATGAGGTTCCAAATTTTTCTATTAATCTGCCCTCTATGTAAATGTTCATAGTTACAGACTCCTCTTGTGTGCACAGGATGAGCGTGGTTCAGGTGGCAGCGTAGAGAAATCTCATGGCAGGTCTGACGAAGTTGGTGAGGATTGTGGTATCAAAACTGACGACGGCCAGGGAACAAAGGAGGATAACAGCTGCGATGTGGACAAGAATCATGTCCACAACAAAGATTCAGAGCACGAGATAGGCGAGGTAAACGAACCCCTAATTTTGTTAATTATGTTCCTAGCCTACTTTGTTTCTCCTAGGAAATAGTAACTTTTTTTTTTAAGCAGGGATCAGTTGAGGCGAACATGGATGAGGCTGAATCTCCCTCTGCGGCTGCCAACGACCACGCCCACCATGAAGACCAGTTAGAGGACATTGACACCAACATTGTCATATGTTCTCAGCCGAATGTGAATGTAAAAGACCAGGTATGCTACTTTGCCTCTTCAAATACGAAATATATTTTTTTAACGAAAGCTATATTGTCCACCATATTATCTTACCGATGTCTATTAATAGGAAACTGGGTGTCCATCCAATTCCCAGCATACCGACAACGCTGCTTCGGGCAGTGAATATGAATCACAACAATCAGAGACAGCTTCAGAACAGGTTTTTATCCGAAGACCTACTAACACCCAAATGTTGATATGTTTTGTGTGTGTATATTTCCTTCTATAATTCCTTCTATACTAATACATAAACAGGATTCTTGTCAGGAAGTCTCTTCTAATTGTGACCAGCCAGCTGCCGAGGATGATGATGGCGACATGGATCCTATAGACTTGACTGACCCGCAGGTAGACAATTGTTTGATTTTCTCTAGTTTCTAGTTTTCGCGGAACAAACCATCCTTGATATATCCATTAACCTATTCAAGTTTTTGTTGAACAGGATTGTGCACTTCAGCAAGTCAAGAAAATTCCTAGGAAAAGAAGGAACTCTGTTTTAGACCAAGTCCTTACTCCATTGCCACCAAAGAGGGCCAGGAAAAGGCCCAGGAAATATGGACATTCTTCGCAGAAGAAGAGGAAGGTAGATGTATCCGATGAGGCGGATGATGAGTCGGTAGATGGGTCGGAAGATGCGTTGTACGATCCATTCAAGGCGGTCAAACCTGGGCTCCGTAAAAAATTCATTGCCAAGTTGTCATCCTACAAAAAAAGGTATGCCATCACTTTCACATTTGTTATCCCGATGGACATTAGTGTGTAGACAACTAATCCCCATTTGTCTACGCTATGCAATACTTTACGCTAACAAACAACATCGAGTATATGATTGATGGCTCATCTGTGAAGCCTTCATTCTTTGAAGAGTTATACACGTCGCAGCATTGGGTCCACACCCCTGTAAGTAACACTGGTTCTGAATTTTTACCGCACTATTTTGCGGTCAGCTTGTTTACAAATTGTTTCACATTGCAGCATATTGAAGCGATGCTAGCGTCGACCTGGAGGCGTTTTGGTGAATCATTCCTTGAGAAAAGGATTGCTGTCCTTGACACATGGTTTTCTGGCATGATCGACGATGAACTACCACGTTTCAGGAGGTCCAAGAAGGCCGGAACTAGGTTTGCGTGGAATAACATAATCAAGAATTATGTCCGCGGTCAAGTACACAACCGCCCTGGTAAGCTGGCTTGGTTCACCGATGTCGACACAGTGTATTTGCCAATGAACTGGGGGAAACGGCACTGGGTTTTGCTTGCAATTCGCCTCAAGAAGGGGAGCATTCTTGTCTTTGACCCATTAATCATCTACAACGGTCCGAGTAAGGCGCAACGGTTTATGAAGCCTTTATTGGAGCTGCTCCCACACATTATTTCAGACTTGGTGAACCCCTCTGAAGACGACCCCCCTCTCCCTAAGGTGTTCAGCTTTGAGAGAGTTGAGAATATCTATCAAAACAAACGGACGGGAGACTGTGGTCCACTTGCTGTCAAGTTCATCGAGCTCGAGGCGCACGGATATAGAGCAGATGATATCATATCAGAAGCCATGGTGGACGAGATGAGGTTGAGATATGCCGTTGATATCTTCGAAGAGTGTGTTGTTTCTCTGTCCCCTTGACTATCGTATTGGCCTTTTGTGTTTTTTGTTGATCGTCCGTAGACAATATTTCCCCATCATCTATGTTTGTTCGCATATGTTTCCTTTGCCTACCTCAGTACATTTGGGGTGACGATAGACATAACTACTACATTTTATGTCCACTGCCTCCTATATCTATCTTCCCATTTCGTCGAGACGGCGAAGTAACGTCATTTTATGTTTTTGTCCTTCCTATATATTTTTCACGTTGTCCTTCTTTGTCTAAACCTTTTGTTTGTCCACCTGAAAGTAACTTGGATGTGTTAACAATCGCAATTTAATCAAAAAAAATTAATTTATACTGTTTTCTTGTTGATGGCCCCATATAACAACACGTTTCTAAATCTGATTGGCTGAGACCACTAGAAAGCTGGTTTACATACTCAACCGTATAGGCCTGCAACACGTTTCTCTTCTGTGTAGTCAGCTCAATCAACCTATCTCTGTAGCGTATAGACTAAAGGATTACAACTAATAAAAATATTTTTTTTTTAAAGTAGGGTAAGTGGATGCTGCAACCATAGAAACTTAACACACAACCCTAAAAATTAACTTTTTCACGGGAAGCTTTCGAAAGTAGTTGCTTCTCCCAGGCTTCGAAAATGGGTCAATATTCTTACTCTCAGCCATCATCTTCTTCAGCAGCATCACCCGCCAGACCTACTCCAGCCTCAGGAATTCCGGTTACTTGCTTTTGCGGCTCTGCTATGAGGGCTAGGACTGTTCCAGAAGGACCCAACGTCGGGCGGCGTTACTTTGAATGCGAGGACGCAGATGTAAGTACCATTGATTGTTTTTCTTTGTACTTTATAATTTTATGTAAGTAGAAGCTATGGTTTTAACCATTTAGGGTCTTTTGCATAATGGTCTCCTCCACTTGAACAAGTGGTGGGACGAAGCCATATTGGAAGAGTTACGAAACATTAAGGACAAGTCCGAAGAGCAAGATGACCGGGTGAAGTACATCACCTACAGCAAAACCAGTGAACGATGCGACCCCAGATGGATGCTCTCTCGGGCCAACCACCACGAAAAACTACTCAATCAATTCATGGAGGCGGTGGAAGATTGCAAAGCATCCGTCGCCGAACTAAGTGCACACGTTGACGAATTGTCCTCCACCCCCTCCCCAACACCACCACGAACGGGCCTGAAATTGTTTAAATCGCATCAGATTATTTACAAATTTCTTGGCACGATCTACGTCGCGCTGTTTGTAAACTTTTACTTCTCCAAGTTTGCCTGATTTATGGACCCTTGTGGACATTTTTCTGGGTCTGTTATCTTTTTATCCGTTTTGAACATGCCATGTGGTTGTACCTCTGTCCCCTTGTGGACAGACATTTTCCTCTGTTTGTTTCGTTTTCAAACTTTTTAGGCGAGAACCCTCTTTTCGGTTGTTGTTGCTTTTTGTCTACTGCCTAAGTTTCATATGTGTTCAATAGCTATGAGTTTGGTGGACATGATGTGCGATATAAATATGTTTTACAAAGTTTGTTGGGGGGACATAATTTTATAACATGGGCCAAACCCTTGGCGGTGGACATACTGTACGAGGCTTGTGGGTTTGGCCTAACGGACAATAAGTTTTAATATACCCGAGGACAACATTTTTACGAACCATTTACGTGGACATTTCAAGCTGTCGTTCTCAATACTTCCCAGCAACATAATACCATCAGGGTTTAGGGTATAGAGGACATATAATAAATACAAGCTTTAGGGTATAGAGGACAAGTTTGAATCTGCTTAGTTTCCGGTCGACAAGTCCTTTTCTAAATTTCGGTACTTCATGAAACCTTCTCAGCGACATGCCATAATTATGTGGTTACGTTAGAACCAACATGATACAATATTAATTACATGCTACCCATTTGCAAACCAATTTTGTCATCACATCTACACGTTACTCCCGTATTTATTACCCAACTCAACTTCCATTAATACACACTAATACGAGGAAAATTATTCCTTGGCACCATCCCAACTAACGTTCACACCTACTTTTCCTAAAATTAATTCCTAAGGACAAGATATTGAGGTATATATGTATGGATAGATTGTCTGGCTAGTTTAAATGCTTTTTTGCAATGGATTCTCGGAAACGAAATCTTAGAAATTTTCTTTTCTCTATCCCAAAAAGTATTTTGATCAAAATTCTTATTTTGCTTTCTCGTGATGGGTTTGAAGATCTAGGGCCACTTATGGCTACTGGGAAATATGGAATGCAAATAGTTTGTGACGAAGAAGTGTTGAAGGCAACATCCCTCATCTCTTTCCTACACAACCCTGATTTGACCAACAAATGGTGGAAATATCGTTCCTTCTTTGTTCGGTGTGTGAAAGCTAAAAACCCCACAGCTTGCTTCTTGGAGAGTCTTCGTTTAACTTGCCGAGAAGGTCTCATCAACGAGGGTATACAACTTTTGAAGACAATATCACCTTTGTCCATAGAAATGGAGTTCTCACTAGGTATGTTTCTTATTACTCGTGGACATTATGACGAAGGTTTGTCCACAGTGTCTTCATTTCAAAGGAGAGCAGGTTCATACGATGAAGCTGAACGGGCGGCTGATTTAGTTTTCCAATTCATTCGTGAGATTGGGCCAGTTAGGATATATTCAAATATTGAATACGCTGCAACATGGAGATATCGCCAAGTTCCTACATGCATCTTGTATTATGGACCAGATGGGTTGAAGTGTAGTAATGAGTCTCGCTGCGAAATATGCTGCCCATGGTGGCGGTCCATCGACTTCATGTGTATGTTTTGATGGGGCAACATTATGTTGGACGTCTTTGTTTCGATTGTCCCATAATCCTTCTCGGTTATGTATGTAGGTCCATGCGCGCCGACAAATTGTATATGTTATAATATGTAGTGCAATCTATGTATGTCCACGTAGAGGATTTGTCCATTGAACTATGGTATGTCTACGATTAACTAATACTAATTATCCAACGCACGTGTATTTTTTCCCCACTACTGCCACAACAATCACACAACTGCAAGTTTAATGCTTGTTCATAAACGACAAACTCCTTACACTTGTGGACCAAAACACTTCTACAAGACTCCGCAAAATACATACCCCGATTATATGTGGTGGACCAGTTAAATTCCCAATTCTGGTCCACTAATCACATTTTACAAATCCAAAATTAGATAACAGACATTACACCCCGATTATAGTCCACGGATCAGACCTTCTGAATTGTACAAAAAATTATACCATCATTAAACCATCATCCTCCAAAAACCTGCAAAATATCCAAAAACCTCTAAAAACTAGATAATTTGTCTGCCATCACACGTTGAACCTGCAGAAAAATTGTCTACTTCATATAAGGTTGGAACAAGTCTTCCTATTGTGTCCCACTCCATTACACCTTCCACATCTGGATGGAGTTGTCCGTTTCCTCACCTTATTGACAGACGTAACCAAAAGTGGATTAGAAGCATCCCAAGCATACACCGCAATCTAGTTATAGTCCACACAATCATTTATACTTACCCGACGTTTCTCCCCTTGTGACGGGATTCTTCTCTTCTTTGGTCTACCCCCACCGCGTTTTTCCTTAGGCGGATTAATAGGTACTTCTTGAACTACAGCTGGGATGTCCGTATCCTTCTCCTTAGGCACCGGCATAATGAGTTTCTCATACTTTTTTCGCCATGGCTCCACAAAGTAACTCAGATCCACAAAACTGTATATATCTAGCTGTCTCACTCCCCTAGCAGCTAATGCGTGACAGCAAGGTACCTTCAATACATCAAAAACGCGGCAAGTGCATGTTTTATTCTCGAGGTCCACGATGAAACCACACCCTGCAGCATCGTTTACTTGGTATACCCAATCACTTGCGGACAACACTGCACAGTTTACGGCATCCTTCAAATGGTCTATTAGAATTGCCTCAATTTCTGGTGTACATCTAGTTCTCGTTTTTGATGCTTTTATCCTCCTTAAGTGAAACCACCTCATCAACATTGCCCGTATGAATTCGACCATCGAGACAATCGGATAATCTATCGCTTTTTGCATTGCCGCATTCAAAGCCTCTGATATATTGCTACTCATCAGGTTGTAACTCGCCTGGAAAATGAGATAATGTCCAATGTGGTAATCCTATTTCCTTAAGATAAGTCGCACACTCTGGTTCACGTTCCTCTATTTCAGCCCACCATACACGGAAATCTCCTACCGTATACGCCCTTGCCGCCTTGCTAACAACTGCTGCCAAGCCAGCACACCCGAAATTATGCTTCACATTCCTGAAAAGATGCACAGTACACGATCCATGGTGTGCTATAGGATAAACTTCCCGTAGACCAGCATAGATGGATGCGTGTCTATCAGACACAAAGACAAGATCTTCTTCGTCGGGGAAAAATTTTTTCAGGTTCTTAAAGAACCACACCCATCCATCTGTGTTCTCTCCATCTACCACCCCAAAAGCTAATGGATAGATTTGCATATTTCCATCTTGTCCACTAGCAGCAACTAGACACCCTTTGTACTTCCCCTTCATGGTCGTCCCATCAATTACTATCACCTTCCGTAGATATTTATATCCAGATATCGATGCACCGAAAGCGAAGAACGGATACTTGAAAAGTACATTCGCATCTTTGTCCATCGAGGTGTGCATGTCCGTTATTGTTCCTGGATTCGTTGTCTTCAGCAAGTGCATGTACGTGGACAGAGGACATTCGTCACTGTTGAAAACTGCCATATTAACATAAGGATCCCAATCAGGCGGGTATTCTTCGTTTATCCGGTCTGTCCACTCGTCAAAATCATAATCTGATTCCTCTCCCGAACCAAGAGATGTTTGTCTTGATGGATCATTCGCTTCATCAAATAGGTCCCCCAACATGTCCACTGCATCTTGTTCCTCCACCTCCTCCTCTCTTATTCTTTTATGTTCCTTACCCCTTTCGCCAACGTCAGTTTGTGCCTTGTGAATGGCCTCCACGGTGGCTAGATGATCCAACAAAACTTCATCTTCTAGAGTACACATCTGCTCATCTACATCATCTTTGCTAGACATTATATTGTCTGCTTCTGCAATTCCCAAATGTCCACCACATGCTCCCCCCATTGCCAAATGTCCACCATCTGGATTAGCTATATGTTGATCGTGCTGCCCATCTATTCCTTCTTGAGACCTTCCTTCGTCACCTTCTCCCATTGGGTTGGTAGCCAATATCCCTTCTTCACCTTCTCCCATCAGAGTTGCGTACAAATAAAGTCCACCGTACTCTCGATGCTTCATCTTAAACAACCCCAATTCCACTTCATTTGTTATTGAGATAGGAGGCATCTTTACTTGCGT